GATCGCCGTGCGCCCCTTTCCCTTCGCCGTGCGCCCCTTTCCCTCCACCCTATTGTGGGGCGCCCCTTTCGTAACCCTATCGCGGTGCGCCCCTTTTCTAACCCTATCCCGGTGCGCCTCTTAACCTCCACACTTCCTGTCTTCCACATTTTTCTCTCTTCTCTCATCCACGATCTCCAATCAGCGGTCCTCTATCCTCCACCTCTTTCTCAGACCCTGTGCTCCACCTACTACTCACCACCCCTCTTGCCATCCTCCGCTCCTCAATTGACGGCAACCCCCAACAGTCGCCCTTCACCTACCACCTCGTCTCAACCACTCTCGCTGTTGCGCACTCATCTTCACTGCAACCTCTCGCTACCACCTCTACCTCTCTAGGTCTTCTCCCTTCCACCACCGCTCGTCTTCCCCTCTAATTCTTAGCCACCTCCGCCTCTCATTCTCGCACCCTTAACTCGGCTGCAGCCACTGGCTTGCTGCCCTCAATCACCCCACTTTCTTTCTCCTTTCGCTCCTCTTCTTCTAACCAGCGACCAACCCACTCTTCCGTCTCTCTCGTCCTCTGTCCCCACGCACCAGACAGCAGCCGGTTGCTGCCCTCTTCCTATCATTCTCGCCCATCTCACTTCCTTCTTCCTGTGACCACAACCTCTGCTGTCCACGCTCAGCCACCTTCCCTTCTCTCATTAGCAGTCAGTTTCCTCCGCTGTGCTGCTCTCTCTCTGCTTCATCTCCTCCACCCACTTGCAGCCTCGCTCAGCCATCTCTTGCCGCTGTCTCCACCCAACCACCGCTTCCTTCGCCCCTCAGCTATTACCTATTCTCGCAGCCCCGTCCTTTTCCACCTGCTCTCACAGCCACCTCCTCTGTCTATTCCACCATTTCCTCGCTCCACCACACTGCTGCATCATCTCCGCCATTTTCTCTGCTGCAACCATTTCGGTTGATTCCGCCCTCTCTCGTTCTCCAGCTCCTCCCGTTCGCCTTTCCATTCCGTCCCCATGTTCTTTTCTGCAACCTTCTGCTTCTTCTGCTTCTCACATAAAAACCCAATAGTGAGCTAGCTCCTCGCGTTTCTTTCTCTCTCTAAACGTCCAAACAAAATTTGCTTCTTCCTTTCGCCCCTTCCTTTTCGTTCGAAGTATTCGCTAGCTTCGTTTTCGTCCAACTCTCCTCCTCAAATAAACCCCTCGTGACTTTTTGATTCTTCTTTACTTTCACACCCAACGACTCATAAGCCACCCCTCCCCTTTTTATTCACGTGAACCCAACAAAAACTTCACTCTCTCTCCTATCTAAATAACCCAATATCCCACTCTCTTTCTCTCTCTCACCTAAATCACCCAAAGTATTCCCTCACGTCTCTCCCTCTTTCACAAGTCTAATATTAAGCCATTCCTCCTTATCCTTTGTTTTTTTATTCCAATCAACCTCACCCATCCATCTTTAGTTTATTTTCATCCTCCAACCATCTTGTCTAATGTTCTTACACTCTATTTCACTTTATTTATTTCATTATCTTATTTTATTTTTTATCTCATCCATTTTATTTTAGTTGTTTTCTTTACTTTGTCCCCCCATTTTATTTTATTTCATTCACCTATCCTTTTTTTTTTGTCTCACCTCTCTGATTTTATTTCTCTTTATTCCACTTAATTCTCTTTATTTTTCTTTACATATTTTATCCCACCATACCTTACTCCATTTTATTCATTTATTTCATTTTCTTCTGTCCTTTCAATTTTATTTTATTCTATCCTTTCAATTTTATTTTATTCCACTTCATTTTATATATCTCACTTCACTCCATTCTATTTTAATTTATTTAATATTCATTCCATTTTTTGCCTATTTTCATTTTCCTTTCATCCTATTTTTCATCCTTATTTCACCATTACTTGTATTTTCACTTTCGTCTCTTTCTTTCTCTTCATCGCCTGTTTGACCAGAGGCCAGACTGAGCCTTGTGTTCGTGCGAGTTTTGTCGTTGAGCAGTATAGCCATCATGCCGGTCTGAGTTACCGTGCATGTCTTGCTGCCACGTCAGATCCACCGTCACGCCAGTTTTGCCATTGGGCCAGTCGAGCCGCCCAATCAAACTTCTTCTCTCACTTTCACTTCACCCTGTAACAAGGTGGGGGACCTATGCCCCAGTTGTCTATACTTCTAATGTGTGTCTGTGTGTTTGCAGGAAAGGAAAAATAGGTCAAGGGAGGCGGTTCCATATTGGCCATAGGCCAGGAGGCGGTTCCATATTGGCCATAGCCCAGGAGGCTTTCCAACATGATCTAAAAGGGCGCCCACACGAGCCAGCTCGAGTGTGTCCGGACCCATGCGAGGTAAGTCCCGCTTCGCCACCCTAATTCCTCTCTCACCAGTTGGTACTCCTGCCCACATCTTCGTCACGTGGCTCCCGAGAGAGCAATCTCAAGTCTCGGGTCCATCTCGAACCCGAAACCACGCCACAAGGTCAACCCATCCCGGAGGGCGAGATCGAGGCACCTAACAATATACACTAGCGAGCACGATCTTCTTCTCTCTCCTCTTTCTCTCTCGTCTTCTCTTTCTCTCTATTCTCTCTCTTTCTTCTTTCTCTTCTCTCTGTCTCGCACAATAGTGCACACTGTTGAGAATGATCTTCCTCTTTCTCTCTCTTCTCTCTCTTTCTTCTTTCTCTTCTCTCTGTCTCGCACGACAGTGCACACTGTTGAGCATGATCTTTCTCTTTCTCTTTCATCTTCTTCTTTCTCTCTTCTTTTTCTCTCTTTCTTTCTTTCCTTTTTCTCTCTCCTTCTTTCCTTTCTCTCTCTCCTTCTTTCATTTCCCTTTCTCCTTTCTTTTCTCGCTCTTCTTACTTCTTTTTCTCCCTCTCTTCACGACAGTGCACACTATTGAGCATGATCTTTCTCTTTCTCTCTCATCTTCTTCTTTCTCACTTCTTTTTCTCTCTTTCTTTCTTTCCTTTTTCTCTCTCCTTCTTTCATTTCTCTCTCTCCTTCTTTCCTTTCTCTCTCTCCGTTCTTTTCTCGCTCTTCTTACTTCTTTTTCTCCCTCTCTTTCGTTTCTTTTTCTCTCTCTTTCTTTCCTTTCTCTCTCTCCGTTCTTTTCTCGCTCTTCTTACTTCTTTTTCTCCCTCTCTTTCTTTTCTTTTTCTCTCTCCTTCTTTCCTTTCTCTCTCTCCTTCTTTCCTTTCTCTCTTTCCTTCTTTCCTTTCTCTCTCTTCTTCTTTCCTTTTTTTCTCTTATTCTTTCTTTTTCTTCTCTTTCTTTCCTTTCCCTCCCTTCTTTCCTTTCTTTCCCTTCTTCCTTTTCTTCTCTCTCCTTTCTTTCTCAGTTCTATCACGCACATCGATGAGCATTGCCGAGCGTGACCTTCTTTCTCTTCTTTCTCTCTTCTATTGTGCGCGGCAGTGAATATTGCTAAGCTCAGGTTTCTCTCTATTTTTTCTCTCCTGTCGCATGTGGCAGTAATATTGTCAAGCGTGACCTTCTTTCTTTCTTCTATCACGCATGACAGTGTACACTGCCGAGCATGACCCTCTTTTTTTCTTTTCTGTCTCGCACGACAGTAAATAATGTTGAGCGCAACCCACTCTCTCTTCTCTTTTTCCCCTGTCTCTCATGTTAGTGAGGACTGTCGAGTGTGACCCCCTCTCTCTTCTCTCTTCCCTCTATCTCACTTGGCAATATCGAGGGTGACCTTTTCTTCTTTTCCCCTTCCTGTCCTGCATGGCAGCACACACTGTTGGGTGTGACACTTCTTTCTTTCTCCCTCCTATTTGTCTTGCATGGTAGTGCATACCGCCGAGCATGACCTCATCCTCCTCTCTTCTCTCTTCTCTCTTTCTCTTTTACTTGATTGACCAAAGAGCAGGCTGAGGTTTGTGCCGCCGTGCCAGTCTAATCGTTGAGCAGCTTAGCCGTCACGTCGGTCTAGTTACCGTGCCCGTCTAACTGCAGTGTCAAACCAACCATTGCGCTGGACCAGCCATTATGCCAGTCTTGTTGTCTAACAGTTTAACCGTCATGCCGGTCTAAGTTACCGTGCCTATCTAGCTGTCGTTTCTGACTAGCCGCCCTGTCAGTCTTGCCGCTGTGCCAGCCTAGCCACCCAGTCAAACTTCTTCTCTCTCTTTCGCTCTTGTTCTCTCTTTCACTTTGTCTCTTTTTCTCTCCTTACCTCCCCTCTCTTTCTTTGTTTTCTCTCTAAAAATTCCCTCTCTCCAATATTCTTTCTTTATTTAACCACTCTTCTCTTTTCCTTCATTGCAAAATATGTACTTAGAGTCCCTTGTCAAAGATACGTCGTAAGGCTGCCTAATTGACACAGACATCATTATGTTAATTCTTTCATCTTCTTTTGAGTACACACACATGTGTTGCGCTCACCCTATGACAAGGTGGGGTCCTCAGACCTACTTGTTTGTACTCTAATATGTGTGTGTGTTTGTAGGTAAGAATAAACAGGTCAAGAGAGGTAAGAATAACTAGCCACAAGCCAGGGGGCATTCCACGTGATCTAAGAGGGCACCCATGTGAGCTAGCTCGAGCATGGCATGGACCCACGTGAAGTAAGTCCCGCCTCACGTGAACATATACTATGTGAACATTTCATGTGGAAGTGCCTCATGGGTGTGACCCATGTGAATTGTGTAAGTAGCATGTGAAGAGTGTGGGTTGAGTAAATTCTATTGGTGGTGTCGTAACCCACCTATGTGATTGACACCTTTTACCATAATGTCCTTACCCTTGACCATTCTTTACACATAGATTTATTAAAAAACTCAAGGGTCTTTATGTGAAGCCCTTTTGGATTTGATTGAAATTAATATATTAGGACAAGGACAAATTGAAGGACCACAACTTTTATGGACTTGAGATGCTCATGGCAATAGAGATAACAGAAGGAAACACATGCCCGACACTAAGGAAGAAGGCGTAGCGCCGGCTATGTTAGAAGCCTAGTGTCGGCAGTGTAAGAAGGCATAGCGCCGGCTGTGTAAGAAGGCATAGCGCCAGTTGGGTAAGAAGGCATAGCATCGGTTGTGTTAAAAGCCTAGTTCCGGCTGTGTAAGAAGGTATAACACCATCAGTGTAAGAAGGCATAGTGCCGACTATGTTTAAATTCTAGAGTTGGCTGTGTAAGAAGGTATAGCGCAGACTGGGTAAGAAGGCGTAGCACCGGTTGTGTTAGAAGCCTAGAGCCGGCTGTGGAAGAACCCAACGTCGATTGAAGCATCGCTGCGCGTGTATAAGGACCCATCGCCGTCTGAGACCTAGAGTCGTCTGTGAAATGGGAGAGCATCGTCGCGAGTGCCACTGCCACCAGTGAGCAGCACCGTTCATGGAAAGAGCATAGCGCCGTGTGTGTTTGGTCAATTTGTACAAGAATCAATCCTGCCCTTGTCAGAGCCATGCATGCCAGTCACATGAACCTCACCTACCCTGTCAGCAATAGTGAACCCCACCTACCTATGAGTACTTGAACACCACTCTTCTTCACTCCTCCATCATTTTTCTCATCTCCCTTCTTCTTCTCCCAACTTTCTCTCCCTAGAGCCCAAGGGAGAACCCTTTGCTGCTGCTGTTGGGAAGCCCTGCCAAGAAGGTTGAAGTGGTCTACGTGTGGATTTTAGGAGCACCTTGAGCATTGGGTAAGTGATTCTAGCTATTATGCATCAATAAATTTTAGGGATATGTTAAGTGTTGAAAATGGGGGAAAAATATGACATTTATGAGTATGAATGTATTGTGATGAGCTTGAAATCTCATATGCCATGATTGATTGAGCCCTGTATATGATTTCATTTGTGGTGGAAATGTGAGAAGTAGTCCACTTATTGGAATAGTTTATTAAGACGTGGTTTTGCATCAACATTTGCTTTGGCTTATGCAATATTGAAAGTTCTTGAATGTGGGTTAAACTTGAGAAGGAGAATTTCAAGAACTGTGACAGTCCTTGCATCGGACCTTTCCATGGCCAAACTGCGTCCAAATGGACCTAAACCATTTTTGAATGAATTATATGGTTGTCTTCTTCAAAATTTTCTATTTATATCATCTTTAAATTTCTCATAGATTAGAAATTATGCTTCAAAATGTGTGGGTATGTCACTGTTAAAAGATTGCAAAAAATTCCTAGACTGTTGCTCTTTTTGTTATAGACTTTGGACCTATCAAATAATATCCAAATGTTCTCAAATCACTGCCATTTGATAAATACATGTGCCTACTATGATGTTTATGTTTTATTCCTATCTAAATTCGTCATAAATGTTGATCTACGCTTTAAATTGTGCATATGTCACTGTTAGCATATTTCACTAGATTTCGCAGCTGATACCTCTGTTGTCACCAGTTTTGACTAACTAAAAGAAGTCCGAATGCTTCCAAATCACTGCCAATTGAAAAATTTGTGTGTGTACTAAACTTTCAAGTTGAACTCTTTTTGAAACTACCTATAGATTGAGAGTTATACTTCAAAATGTGAGGGTATACTACTGTTCACAGTTGCAGGAAATTCCAGCAACTGTCACTGACATTGTGCGGCGATTTTGACCTATCGAACGTCATGCAAACCCCTTCAAACTATCACCATTTTAAAGGTATATGTGTAAAACTAGAGTTGCATGTTTTAATCATTTTGAGATTCTCCCTAGAATGGGAGTTTTGCCTCCGAGAAAGGGGCTACGTCACCGTTACAAAGCACAAAGATTTTCAGATTTGTGCCTGTTGGAGAAACAAATGGTTTTGCACTCAAACTCTGTTCAAATGCATTCTTTTCACCTTCAGATGAGCTTTCTTCAAGTCTATTTCGAAATCAACTTCTGATCCATACTAAGACTCTCCACTATTTGAAGATAGTGATCTGTTTCTATGAGGATGTCACAGTTGTGGATGAAATGAAGTTATATTCACTTGCTGAATGATTCACTGATGATTTTAAGTAACAAGAGTAAAGAGTGATAACTGATGAACCTAAATGTTATTGAATGGCCTCCCTATGATGTGATACATATTTACTACCATGGAACTATATGAATAATGCCGCCATAAGCGAACACTTGATAAATGTGCATGCTCTGTGATGTCCCTGTAATACATATTGCATGAAGGAGACTACGAGTCATAAATGTTAATTGACAAATGTAAATGCTATGAGATAGCTCTGTTATGATGGATGCCTCATGCTAGTGGCATAGCGTACTTGTTGGCTGTTTATTTCTGAAAGACACTGTTAGGATATTGTGATGGATGGCCACTGCTTGTATTGATATTGACCATTACACGGTGGGACACTCTCCAGTAGTAGATACTATTATGATATTGTGATTGATGGCCACCGCTTATATTGATATTGACCATTACATGGTGGGGCACTTACTGGTAGTGGTTTTAGGATGGAGTAGTGACTTGGTGTCCTTGTGACTAGGTTAAAGATGCCGAGAGCTCGTGGCTACTATGGGAGTACCAGTAACTATGACATTGAAGCCCACGGTGAATTTTGTAGGACTCTAGGAGCCATAACCCAAATAATGATAGAGTCGATGCCGGCCCTATCCACCCCTACCCCAAAACAGAATGAGAGTAAACTAATAGAGAGGTTTAAGAGGCTGACACCCCCAAATTTCTTAGGGAAGGGAAGTGTAGAGAAAGCGGAGAGATGGTCAATGCAAGTGAAAAAGATCTTTAGAGTCCTACAGTGCTCTGATGAGCAGAAGTTGAGACTAGGTGTAATAGAAGGGCACGCCAAACATTGGTGGCGTTCGGTCCAGCAATCTTAGGAAGGGAATGAGATAGTACCTACTTGAGAATGATTTTTGGAGGCCTTCAATTAGAAATATTTCCTTGAATCAGTAAAAGAAAGAAAGGAGTTTTAATTCATAGAGTTGCAGCAGGGGAATCTAATCATTGATCAGTATGTGATCAAATTTTTAGAATTATCTCGATATGTGTCGCGTATCATCAACACCGAGGCTAGGAAGGCAAGTAAGTTCAAGAGATGGTTGCAGCCAGATATCAGAGGGAGAGTCTTGTCGGTCAATCTTTAGGTGTTCTCTCAATTGGTGGATTTGGCTAGAAAGGTGGAAAAAGACTGTGATGACTATTGACTGAGGAAAGAGAAGCAAAAGACAGAACTTTCACCCTCTGGGGGTCTACGAGAAAAGGAATGACGGAGGAATGGCAAGGCTCAAAAGAACTCACAAGGAGACATCAAGCAGAGCCAGCTTGTGCCTTGTTCCTCTTACAGGGAGCGGGGCCATGCGGCTTCGAGTGCTGGCTGAAGACAAAGACATGTTATAAGTGTGGCAAGTCGGGCCACTTGATTAGAGACTGCCCGACATTGAAGAATTAACCCAAACCCAAGACTCAGTGTACGACCTTTGCACTTGAAGGGGGAAAAGCTAAGGCCTCCACATGAGAGAACTATAAGTGTTTTTATTGTAATATGAAAAGTAAAAAGTTTTGTTAGACCTTGTTTCCTCTCACTCTCTTTGTAACACCATATTTTGGCACATACAATAGAATTTGAACTTTTATTGTCTAACTGTATTTATATTGCGTGTGACTGATTGAGGATCCTGTAGAGATCCTTTAGTATGATAACTGTGTGGAACCTTACTCGAGGGGTATGCCCTATCCCTTTTAGTTGAGGGCTAATATGTGCCATATAATTGAAGTGGTAAGTACCATATGATACGACCTGTTTGGCCTATGGTGTGATGATTGGAATGTGATGTATGAAGCCTGATAAGAATGTAGCGAGTGCTACACTGTTTCTAGGGTGCCTACTTTGAGCGTATTGTAGGGCCCAACTGTGTGATTGATAGTGATAGGGTGCCTGCTTTGGGCATATTGCAGGGCCTGACCATGTGATTGATTGGCATGCATTGAGCGTATTGCATGACCATATTAGGATATATGATTGATTGACATGCTTTGAGCGCATTGCATGACCATACTGTGATATGTGGTTGATTAGCATGCATTGAGCATATTGCATGACCATACTGTGATATGTGATTGATTGGCATGCTTTGAGCATATTGCATGACCATATTGTTATATGTAATTGATTGGCATGCTTTGAGCATATTGCATGACCATACTTTGATATGTGATTGATTGGCATGCTTTGAGCGTATTGCATGACCATACTGTGATATGTGATTGAATGACATGCTTTGAGCATATTTCTTGACCATACTGTGATAAGTTATTGATTGGCATGCTTTGATCATATTGCATGCCCATACTGTGATATGTGATTGATTGGCATGCTTTGAGTGTATTGCATGACCATTCTTTGATTTTGTGGTGTGTTTTGAGTGTATTGTGTGATTGATGCTTGTAAGGTGTCTCTTTGTGAGTATTGTCAGACCTTATTTAGAGACTAATATCAATAGCCAGTTGGTAGTGGCTGAACTGGTTGAAATTGATTAGAGTTGAATGGCTTGATTTGAATTGTGTGTCAACTTGTTAATGTTGGCTGGCTGGGTTAATAGGGTACCTGAATTGCTAATGTATTTTAATGGTTAGTGCATGATATTGTGTGTGAAATGTGAAGCATAGACTATGAAGATAAGAATGTAGACAATTGGATGAGACAGTAGGGGATGTGTGGGTACCCTCCCCCAATTGTTGGACTTCATATGTATGATTCTGGGGAAAAAAACCCTTTTTAAGGAGGGGATGATGTAAGGACCACAACTTTTCTAGACTTGAGATGCTCACAACAATAGAGACAAGAGAACACGACTCCAAGTAAGAAGGCGTAGTGCCGGTTGTGTTATAAGCTTAGTGTTAGCTGTGTAAGAAGGCATAGCGCCGGCTGTGTAAGAAGGCATAGCGACGGCTGGGTAAAAAGGCATAACACCAGCTATGTTAGAAGCCAAGCACCGACTGTGTAAGAAGGCATAGCGCCGGCTGTGTAAGAAGGCATAGTGCCGGTTGTGTAAGAAGGCATAGCGCCGGCTGTGTAAGAAGGCGTAGCGCTAGTTGTGTTAGAAGCCTAGCGTCAGTTGTGTACGAAGGCATAGCACTGGCTGGGTAAGAAGGTGTAGCGTCGGCTGTGTTAGAAGCCTAGCGCCTGCTGTGTAAGAAGGCATACCATCGGTTGGGTAGGAAGGGGTAGCGCCGGCTGTGTTAGAAGCCTAGCACCAGCTGTGGAAGAACCCAGCGCCGATTCGAGCATCACCACGCGTGTATAAGGACCCATCACCCTCTGTGACCTAGCGCCGTCTGTGAAATGGGAGAGCATCACTACGAGTGCCACGACCGCAAGTGAGCAGCACCGTTCATGGAAAGAGCATAGCGTTGTGTGTGTTTGGTCAATTTGTACAACTGTCAACGTTGCCCTTATAAAAGCTGTGCATGCCAGCCACGTGGACCTCACCTACCCTGTCATTAATAGTGAACCCCACCTACCCACGAGTACTTGAACACCACTCTTCTTCACCCCTCCATCATTTTTCTCATCTCCCTTCTTCTCCCAACTTTCTCTCCTTATAGCCCAACGGAGAACCCTTTGCTGCTGCTGTTGGGAAGCCCTGCCAAGAAGGCTGAAGTGGTCTGTGTGTGGAATTTAGGAGCACCGTGAGCATTAGGTAAGTGATTCTAGCTATTATGCATCAACAAATTTTAGGGATTTATGTTAAGTGTTGAAAATGGGGGAAAAATGTCAGGATGACATGTATGAGTATGAATGTATTGTGATGAGCTTGAAATCTCAGATGCCTTGATTGATTGAGCCCTGTATATGATTTCATTTGTGGTGGAAATGTGTGAAGTAGTTCACTTGTGGGAATAGTTTATTATGAACTTGGCTTTGCATCAATTGCTTTGGCTTATGCAATATTGAATGTTCTTGAATGTGGGTTAAACTTGAGAAGGCGAATTTTCAGAACTGTGATGGTCCTTGCATCAGACCTTTTTGTGGCCAAACGATGTCCAAATGGATCCAAACTGGTTTTGAATAAATTAGATGGTTGTCTACTTAAACGTTTCTCTTTATAACATCTTGAAATTTCCCATAGATTAGAAATTATGCTTCAAAATGTGTAGGTATGTCACTGTTAAAAGATCGCAAAAAATTTATTAACTGTTGCTCTTTTTGTTCCAAATGCTTGACCTATCAAATGATATCAAAATGTTTTCAAATCATTCCATTTGATAAATACATTCGTCTACTATGATGTTTATGTTTTAACCCTGTCTAAATTCTTCATAAATGTTGACCTATGTTGTACATTGTGCATATATGTCACTGTTAGCAGATTTCACTAGATTTCGCAGCTGATACCTCTATTGTCGCCAGTTTTGACTAACCAAATGGATTCCGAATGCTTCCAAATCACTGCCACTTGAAATATTTGTGTGTACTAATCGTTTCATGTTTCACTCTTTTTGAAACTCCTTGTAGATTGAGAGTTATACCCCCAAAATGTGAAGGTATACTACTGTTCACAGTTGCAAGAAATTCCAGCAACTCTTACTCACATTATACTGAGCTTTTGACCTATCGTATGTCGTCCAAACACCTTCAAACCACCACCATTTTAAAGATATATGTGTAAAGTTAGATTTGCATATTTTAATCATTTTGAGATTTTCTCTAGATTGGGAGTAGTGCCTCCGAGAAAGGGGGTACGTCGCTGTTTCATATCACAGAGATTTTCAGATTTGTGCCTGTTGTAAAAACAAATGGTCTTGCCCTCGAACTCTGTTCAAATGCATTCCTTTCACCTTCAGATGAGCTTTTTGCAAGTCTATTTCAAAATCAACTTCTGATCCACACTAAAACTCTCCACTATATGAAAATATTGCTCCGTTCCTATGAGGACGTCACAATTGTGGATGAAATGAAATTATACTAACTTGCTGAACAATTAAACGATGCTTTTAAGTAACAAGTGTAAAGAGTAATAATTGATGAACCTAAATGTTATTGAATGACCTCCTTGTGATGAGTGCTACATATTTACTGCCATGGAATTGTACGAATAATGCTATGCAATCGTGCCATAAGCGATCATTTGATAAATGCGCATGTTATGTGATGTCCCTATTATACATATTGCATGAAGTAGACTACAAGTCATAAATGTTAATTGACAAGTGTAAATGCTATGAGATAGCTCTCTTATGATGGATGCCTCATGCTAGTGGCCTAACGTACTTGTTGGATGTTTATTTTTGAATGATACTGTTATTATATTGTGATGGATGGCCACTGCTTGTATTGATATTGACCATTACGGGGTAGGACACTCACCGGTAGTGGATACTGTTATGATATTATGATGGATGGCCACTGCTTGTATTGATATTGACCATTACACAGTGGGACACTCACCGGTAGTGGGACACTCACCGGTAGTGGGACACTCACCAGTAGTGGATACTGTTATGATATTGTGATGGATGGCCACCGCTTATATTGATATTGACCATTACGTGGTGGGACACTCACCGATAGTGGATACTGTTATGATACTGTGACGAATGGCCACTGCTTATGTTCATATTGGCCACTACACAGTGGGACACTCACCGGTAGTGGATACTGTTGTGATATCGACCACTTTACGATGAGTCGCCCCTTTGATAGTGGGTACTGTTCTGTTATGATATTGTGGTATTGAGCGCTTTGCAATGGGTCACCCATTGGTTGTGCGACTGAAGTGATGGATGCTATGAGCATTCTTTGGCATGCTTTGTGTGTATTGCATGACCAAGATTGATATGAATGGTTGCTTGCTTTTAGAGTATTGCAGGGCATATTATGTGATTGATGTGATTAGGGTTATGAGCATTCTTTGGCATGCTTTGTGTGTATCGCTTAGCTTAGATTGAAATTGAGAGGTGCCTGCTTTGGGCATATTGCAGGGTCTACTTATGTGATTGATGCCAGTGAGGTACATGATTTGGGCGTATTGCATGGCCTGACCATTTGTTTATTGTGAAATGAAAATGTGCTCTATGATAAAGCGAGAGTATTCTCCGTTGAGACAAGAACATCTACTGTGAAACGGGTTCAATTATAGATGAATGAGTGGTAATGTGAACTGCATGATTGTTATGTATCATGATGGTGTTCATTAAGGAATGGTTTTTTGAACTGTTATTTCTTATGATATATGTTATTTGCACTGTGAATGTGAATCATAATTATTGTATTAATCGAATGAGAATTTTGATACCTGAAATGATGCATGTGATTGATGCACTGATAAGATTATTGATTTATCTGATATTTATACTGTGATGGATTTATTAATGATGCTTAATAGCTAGACTTACTGATTGGGTTGTTCAGCTCACTCTATTATTTTACCATCCCTGTAGAGAAAGAGTCACAGTTGGAAGACATGGCTTAGTAGAAGCAGTTGGCCCTAGTTATTGTTTATTGTGCAACACATGTACTATTGGTCCCTGATGCCCCAAATTGAGCTGTAATGTTTGTGGAAGAATTTTCATAATTGATTTTTGGTGTATAAGAATTCTATTTCTAGATGTTCTTCTGCCTCTTTGAATCTTTGTTTTTAATTCCTTGCCATGGTTTGCCTTGTGTACCGCCTTATCAAAGCGATGAGCGTACTCCAACCTGAGTAGCATTCGCTACCTCCGATTCACGGACCTGCTCTCGGCCGCCCTCCAGCGAGCTCGATAAAAGGGACGGGGGCGAGGTCGTGACAACAAAAGGGCAATGTGGTTTTGATTTCGGGTTTATGAGGTGATAAAAGTGCTTAAATCTCATCCCTTCATCCTAGTAGTTGGATGGGGATGAGTAGCTAGGATAATTAGCCTCTCATGTGCCATTGATAAAGTGCATCAAGGGTCATGATCAATTCATAACTTATACACTTCATATAAATACACTTCAGGCCCAAATTCAAACCCTAAGAAAATACTTTTCTTGAATCAAAGAGAGAGAAAAGATATCAAAACTAGGCATCCACATTCATCCCCCTTGGGTTCATGTTCTTGGTTAGAAGATGATCTTTTATGTAGCCCCTTCCATCCACAAGGTCAAGTCCCTCATATGTCACCATCAAGGTATTATGTATTTGTGAGTTATTCCTTCATTACTTCACTTCCTCATGATTTAAAGTTCTCGTAAATTTATGTTTACATAAGTTTAACATCCCCTTTCCATTGCTTTTGAATGATCTTTAAGTTAGAGACATAAGGTGTCTCCCTTAACTTTGATCATGAGTTCAATACCTTGATTGCTTTATAAATCATATGTAGTTTCTCATAGATCCTTTCCATCCAATTTTTCTTGAGTATATCTTTATTAATATTCAAGTTCAGAGAATTAACATCCATTTTAAAAGTCCATTTGTTTATTTAGAGTTCGTCTTTTTACATTGAGAAAAACTTTGGTGGACCATATGAAGTAGTTTGTTCATATTTGGCTCGTCTTGAGTACCATCTCTCTTGTTCACTTTTGCAAACTGATATACACCATTTTAATCTCTCTCATTGGGCCTTATTAGTTAATTTAAAATTTTTTCAAGCTTCCTATTTGAATTGATCATATTGAGATTATAAAACAATTTTTGCACTCATCTTTGAGACAAAATTAAGTCCTCAAACGCCCCGATTGTGGGCCGGGCACAAGGGGTTCAAACCTTGGCTTCCCCCATGATAATTTGCATGTTAATTTGATATATTTACTGTTATTAACTGATTAATGAATAAAACTGAGTATGTTATGTGAATATTGAGATTGTTCTTAAAATCTTGTGATATGAGCTACAATGTTATACTCTAATGTTCATGCAAATGGAAATCCCTTTGATTGTTATGAGTAACTATATGATGTGTATAAGACAATCTGGCATATGAAGAGAATGAATATTGAAGAAGAGATGTTTATGTAATTATTATAGATTGATGAATTTGAGCATAAGTTTTGTAATGCGTTGTAGAGATGTACATTTGAGTATTTGGACATTGTATTGAGCTTAATTTTTATTTTGAGAAAGGAATATCTAAGGAACCTATTACAGTTGTAATTTTATTTATTAAGGTTGGTACAAACCAATTTTGAAGGCTGGCATTCATATATCACAGTATTGTATTGAGTTCTTCATGTATTTAAAGCCTTATATTTTAATAAAATGGAAATATTTTTAGGTTATGGATCTAGTCCCTTGGTCTTATTATTTGAACGTGTTTTTCAGCACCTTGGTCCCTGATAGGAAGTAGGTCAATAAAGCTTACAAAACAGTGGAGATTCCCGACAGTCTCAAAATGACTGCAGAATTGATCAAAGATCTTCATCATCACTTCAAAAGACCACCTGCCGAGTTTCATCGCGATCAGACATGTCTAAGGCAACGAACACAAAGAAACAATTTTAGCGAAATCGGTCTCTAGCACCCTGAAATGGATCTTGTAACTAGAGCCATACTTTTGGTGAGTCAAAAAGCTGTGGGACTATTGTCATTAGATTCGACATGGTCGAAAACCCTTATAGGTCAAGTTTCAGCTTAATTGGACACTTCAAGACAAAGTAATGGGTAAAATATCGAAAAGGGATTCCTGTGTGGCCTCACTGCATCAAAACAACATTAAAGGTGGCTATTTTTATATTCACGGGCAGTCACTTTCAGGGCTTATATCTCACTCGTTCCAAGTCGGATCACTCCTAAATCTAGTGAGCGTGTTCGCTTCATCAAGATGAGCAATTCGATATGTGGCACACCCTGTGATGACACCCGAGTAGAAAGAAAAACTAAATGAAAGTTGCTAATTCGTGAAAGAAGCTGCAGAAAATTTAGCAGTAGCACGCCTCGTTCGAGCAGCCAGATCACGACGCTCGCTTTCCCGATCGGCACGAAATCAATTACATTCTGTGTGTGAGGTCCGAGGCTATCTCTGATCTGAACTTCACATACGATGAACAGTTGGATTTCACACACGAGGGCGTCAAAGCTACATTAAACTCCGACCATCGAATTTCAAGATTCTGGTAAAAAACTCAAGACCAGAAAATCTTCATCCGGACACGAAATCAAGCCTCATTTGTTGCATTGTGATCGTGATGGTATGCTTAAGGTGATTCAATGAATAAGTCATGAAGAAAAATCAAGGAATGAGCACACAATCGATCCGAAGTTTTCAAGATTCATCCAAAATTCAAGTCTCATGATCATGGCTTCAAAACATGATCCAAGGCTTGAAGTTGGTATCAAAATGATCGTTGTGCCGAGCCACACAAGAAAACAATAATCTTTCGATCAAACAGGCATCCGAACGATCCTGAACCAGCCACGGAAGATCACGCAAGTTCTCGGGCAGCAGCAGGGACTGTTTTTCAATTCTACATCTTGTTAGGCAGGGGCAAAACAATCATTTTCACCCATTTTTAGAATTTCTTTAAATTCAATTAAATTGTAATTATCTTCAATTCTAGGTAGTTTTTAGGCATACACCCACGTTTTAGCTCAATTCTATATAAACAGGTAATACCTCATTCTTCTTGGATCAATCAATAAAATTTTTAACTTTGCTTAAGCTTGTGGGTATGTCTCGGAGAGAGAGAGAGAGGAGAGAGGAGAGTGAATAAAGGGGATGATGCCCTTCAGGTAGGTAACTTTCTCTCTCCTCCCCTCTTTCTCTCTCCTCCCCTTTTCTCATCTTTATCTCTTTCTCTCTCTTCTTCTCATCTCTATCTCTTTTTCTCTCTTTCCTGATTTATCTCTCATCCTCTTTCTTATCTCTATCTCTTTCTCTCTCTTCTTCTCTTCTCTATCTCTTTCTCTTCCCTCTTTCTTATCTCTATCTCTTTCTCTCTCTTCTTCTTATCTCTTTATCTTTCTCTCTCTTCTTCCCATCTCTATCTCTTTCTCTCTCTTTTTCTCATCTCTATCTTCCTCTGTCCTTCATCTGTTGCAGTCGGCGAAGCCTAGCGCTGGCTGGATTTGTCTCTCTCCTTCTCTTATGTTGCAGTCAGTGAAGCCTAACGTCGACTTGATTTCTCTCTCCTTCTCTTTTGTTGCAATCGGTGAAGCCTAACGCTGGCTAGATTTCTCTCTCTCCTTCTCTTTTGTTGCAGTCAGTGAAGCTTAGCGCCGACTGAATTTCTCTCTTTCCTTCTCTTCTGTTGCAGTCGGTGGTGCCTAGCACCGGCTAGATTTCTCTCTCTCTCCTTTTCTGTCACTATCGGTAAAGCTTAAAGCCGGTTTGATTTTCCCCTCTTCCTTTTCTTTCATCAAAACCAGCCCAAGCCTAGCGCTGGCTGGGTTGCTCTCTTTCATCTCTTCTGTCACAATCAGTGAAGTCTAGCGCCGACTCGATCTCTCTCTCTTGCGTCTCTTCCATCAAAACCGATGCAAGCCTAGCTCCGACTGGGTTACTCTCTTTCTTCTCTTCTGTCATCATCGGTGAAGCTTAGTGCCGATTGCATCTTCTCTCTGTCCTCCGGACACAGTCGGTAAATCCTAGAGCAACTGCAATTTCTCTTCTTTTGGCATACTCGGCGAGGCCTAGCATCGACTGTGTCTTCTCTCTCTTCTCCTCTGTATAACACAGTTGGTGGAGCCTTGCACCAACTGCATTTTCTCTCCCTTCCTTCTAGCACAGTCGGCAATGCCTAGCGTTGACTGCGTCTTCCTTCCCTCTCTCTCTCTTTTATTATCTCGCCTTTCATAATCTTCTCTACCTTTCTTCTCCCTCCTTCCTTCTGTTCCCTTCTTCTCTTCTGTCATTACTTATTCTTTCCTCATAACCATCATTCGGTTTTTCTTTCATTCGACTAAGAGGGATTGAGGTTATCCTCTCATGGTAGTCTTGTCGTCTAGCCGTAATGTTGTTGTTCCAAGATTACTTGGCCCACTTTATTACCATGACAAACTAACCATTGTGCCTAGCTAGTTGGTACTGGTAATGATGTCTAGTAGTAATCCTGTGAGTCGATATTAGTTACCGAACCTGTTTTGCTACCATTTTAGGCCAATTATTCACCAGCTAAGTCACTACTCTGACCCTCTTGCTCAATCGAATTCTTTTATCCCCCATCTCTCTTCTCTGATCTTTCTCTCCTTTTTGAATGCGTATGCTTGTTTATGTTCGTCAAAGAGGAAAAGGGTGAGGTCTGACCCACCTGTCTTATGACCATTGCCATATGTGTTTGATTGCAGAAAACAAAAGAATACAAGCCAAGGGAGGCGATTCCAAACCAGTTTTATTATTGGGGGGCTTTCTTCCTAATTTAAGAGGGCACCCACGTGAGCCACCCCGAGTAAGTCTCGAACCCACCTTAAATTCCTCTCTCACCGGTTGGTAACACCTGTCCCCGTTCTCAAATGAGGTTCCTAAGAGAGCGATCTCAAAAACATCCCGGGTCTTCCCTCGAAATTTGGGATGCGTGTCTCCCGATCCTCAAAGGATTCGGAGGGCGAGAGGCACCTAACCATCTTGGCGACTCCACTGGGGACTTACTACCCCT